CTCCCGCCCTCAGTCCCCCACTCAGAGCTCGCCCAGGGGGACGCAGCCCCTGGAGGCGGGCGGCAGGCCCGGAGCCACCGGCCGGCAGCTCTGGACCGGGAGCCCTGGACTGTGCGGACCGGGAAGTTTCGTGGTGGGTTGTCTCGGGGCGGCCTCTGGCCCTCCCGAAGCTGTGCAAATGGCGAGTCCCGCGGCGCGGTATAGCCAGTAAGCCAAACCCTAGAGTTCTTTGCGCTGGGGCCCGGAGCCCTCGAGTCCCAGGATGTTTCGAGGGCTAAGCCCAGAGCCGACACGAGGGAGAAAGCAGCGGCGAGAGCGCCGGGCACACGGCGAGGCGTAGCCTCCGGACACGCGATCTCCAGGCAGTGGCCCCTCTAGGGAGCAGGAACGTTTCATATTCCTGGAACCCACCAGATGCGTTCTCCGCTGGACCCGCGGCGAAACTGAGGTCCAGAGAGGAAGAGACTGGAGTCCCCAGGGCGCGCCGGGGCCCGCGGAACTGCGACGGGGCGGGACAGCGCGGGTGTGGGAGTTTGCCGGTGCCTTTCCCCACCGCGAATTGCACCTTTGGAAGCCGTACTTTCCTTCTTTGTAAAATAGGCATAACTATTACCACCCAGGCTGGAAGCTCGGTGGCTGAGGCCCGACAGAGGAACTTGGCAAATGCTCCTTCCCACCCCTCCTTCCCAACTCCCACAAACTGAAAAAGCTCCTAGGAGGCTAAGGATGGGGCGCCCCCATCTGGGCCGGAATCTCTGCGGACTGGAGTCGTGGGCGGATCCGACCCAGAAAGCTCAGTCGCAAAAACCCTCCTGGGCTTCGCGTCCCTTCAGAAGTGGGTTTGTTCCCCCCAAAATGTTAATAACCAAACGATTGGTATGGATGTAATTATCAATAATTATACGAATTATTGCTGATTGCAGGGCTCGTAGCTACTTTAATTAGTTTACCAGATTCTAATTAAGTTAAATGAAACATTAATAGGGAAAATATGCTTTGAAAAACACCGCATGATTTAAAAAAATCTATTTCTCGCCGCAATGTTGCCACCTTGTGACAGGTTTTAGGCATTACAACCAACGCCCGAAGGCCCAGACTAGGGTGCCTGGGCTCCCAGAGAGAAAAAGTGGGGCCTGGAAGTTGGGAGGAGGCAGTTGGGCACAGAATGTCCTCTGGGCTGTTATCCTGGCCCCCAGCCGTGCCTACAGGAGGTCTGGCTCTGGAGTCCAAGGTCTGGGTTAAGGGACCAGGTAAACATGCCTCTTATCCAGAGGAAGCCGGGAACCCTCTTGGGAGCAGCAGTGGGACAGATGATCACTATTCCCACCTGTCCTGGCAAATCCAGAGTGAGAGACTGAGCAAAGTTGGAGCAGCCATTGGAGACAGCATCAAGTAGCTTTATTTTTCACGAGAAAGCAGGAAGTCCCTTCCCATCTCCATTTCCTCTGCAAATCAGGGTGACCTGTGTGCAAAAGTACCACTTAGAAGACCCCTCAACTCCTGGAACTCAGGTGACTGTTCTAGTGGCATTCGGCTCATGAGGCTAGCAGGGCACTCACCTCCCTTTGTTAGCCTTGGTTTTAAGTGTCTGTTGCCCTGAGAGTGAAAGTATGTGGACAGCAGGGGTCACATCTTGCTTGCTCTTTCTTGCAATCTTCAACACAGGGCCCAGGGCTCCACAGGCACACAACACATGTCTAGGTGAATGGCTTCCAACTTTGCAGTTCGTCTAGGTGCTGAAAATATCTGAGGGAAGGAATCCCTAGGTGCTTCTGGACAACAGCCACTGAGAAGCAATTAAGCTCATTTGCATAAGGTTAATTAAACACAGGCTTACTGCTCAGAAAGATCGTTCATCAATAGGAATAGTTTTGGGAGCAGGTGTCAGGTAAATGATTGTTAACCTGGAATAGGAAAAATTTCTTCCTGTTCCAACTATGTCTTAAAGAGGATACTCCATTCCGTGGTATTTTTCCAGGTCACTGTCACACAGGTCCACCCATTCCTATCTACCCTGCTCTAAAGCTTTGATCCATTGCATACATGTGACTCCTGCCTTGAATTCACACCACCAATAAAAGCAGAACTGGATCTGCATGCTCTTCCCTTGAATTCTAAATAGCCTCGTCTCCCCTCTCTATCCTCAGATGTTTTGTTAAGAGCACAGACTCTGGAGCCAGGTTTATTGAGGTCTCAATGCTGCTCTGCCATTGATGAGTGACACTGGGCAAGTTGTTGAATCTCTCTGTGCCTCAGCTTCCTCATCTATAACATAGGGAAATTGACAGTATCTCCTTCATAGAACTGTTTTCTGTTAATACGTGTAAAGCACTGAGAACTGCTCCTGGCATACAAGAATTGCTATTGTATTGGTGTTTGTGCTAAGATTACAACTCTCTCTGAATTCACTTTCCTGAGACTCAAGCCAGGAATGCTTTTAAAGAGCCCCAAAATGGACCCCAGTCCATCACCTTCCTCTCGTCCAGGGGCCCAGAAAGGAGGATGAACCAGTGCTTTTTCAAGCCCAGATTATTGAGCTTTCTAGAGACACATTCATACAAATCTACAAGCATGCAGGTTGGAAAAGCACCCTGCAAGCCAATGCTCTCATTACTGTATGTGTCCAAAGAGGACTGCCCAAGTTCCCTCAGCCAGTTGGTGCAGAGCAAGGGAAGTAGCCAGGTTTCTGGATTTCCTGGGACTAGGAATTGCCTGTGTCTTTCCTAATTTCTGTTCTGAGGCAAGTTTCTTTCCCTTCTTTTTCTTTCTTTCCTTCTTGATGCGGGTTTCACCATGTTGGCCAGGCTGGTCTCAAACTTCTGACCTCGTGTTCTGCCCACCTCAGTCTTTCAAAGTGCTAGGATTACAGGCGTGACCACCGCACCCCGCCAGTTTCTTTAGAACAATCTGAACAGTCCTTTTTGGGCCAAGTCCTTCATCCTTCACTCTTGGATTCTATTCTACTCCCCATAACACCCCCTTCCACACACATGGACTAATAATATTCCAGTCTGATGAACTGTCCATGCTGAAGAGAGGGAGCCACACCGACCTCGGTCGTTTCCTTGTTTGGCATTCCAACAGAGACATTTAAAATTACTCACCCAATTGCCCAAGTGGCTTCCAAAGAACCAGGTATCTCTAAGGGAAGAGCAGAAATCCAGCCACCAAAGATTGTCCTCTAACACCTTATATGGAAGGCCCTGAGCCAAGGAAGAGGTGGAGATGTCCCGCAGTCCCCTATTCTCGGCTGTTACCTGGAAAAGCTCCTTTCACCTCCACTGAAGAGAAAAGGAATGGGTCCTGAATGGAACGCTGCCGGGCAGCTCCCAGCGCCCACTCGCAGAGTAACCGCCGCTACCCTAGGGTGGCTCCGGGGCTGCGGGCCTGACCACCCGCCCTCCTGCGGCGCGCCTGGAGGCTAGGAGCTGTGTGGCCGCTCGAGGCAAATCCACTGGGGTCCTGGTGGCCGCAGGGCCCACGAGATGGACTACGTGCATGCTGAAGCACTAGCAAAGGAGATGCACCATTTTTCTTTGGAAAGATACTTCAGAAAACATTGACTAAGTCATCGAAGGAAACCTGAACGTGCTTGGACTTTGTTTCCGCCCTACTTTCTGGAACTGTGTTTTTGCAATTCAGTTACCTGGGGGCTGGGTCCCGATCTTTTCAGGGTCTGTGCCGCTGTAAGTCTTATCAGGCTTTACCTCTCAGTGATTGATATAAAATGATGACAGTAAAATCCACAGGGTGATTAGAAATTTTTTAAACATTGTTTTATTTTTCTGCCCCCTCCCCCTTTTCTTCTCCTTCTCCTTCTTTTTTTTTTTTTTTGAGACGGAGTTTTGCTGTCGTTGCCCAGACTGGAGTGCAATGGATGGCACCATCTTGGCTCACCGCAACCTCCGCCTCCCGCGTTCTAGCGATTCTCCTGCCTCAGCCTCCAGAGTACCTGGACTATAGGCTGTCGCTACCACGCCCGGCTAATTTTTCTATTATTAATAGAAACGGGGTTTCTCCATGTTGGTCAGGCTGGTCTCGAACTCCCGACCACAGGTGAGCCGCCCTCCTGGTCCTCCCAAAGTGCTGGGATTACAGGCATGATCCACAGCGCCCGGTCTCCCCCTTTTCTTTTATTATTTATTTATTTGGTCAGGAATATTTTAATGAAATATTGGTGAAGCCCTTGACATATGGTAGATGCTCATTAAGTGGTAGGTTTTCTTTTTTTTTTCTCAAAGGATTCGGTCAGTCTCATTGCAAGTTCCTCTAATGTTTATCGTTGCAGTAGGTCCTGTTATGTTTTTGGACCTGAAATGGACCAACTTTGGCAAGACGAAATTTTCCTTAGATGTAAGGTACTGCAATACTCAGGACTGTGCAGAGGGAAGCAGAGGCAAGATGGAAAAAATCTCAAACTGGGGTCCGAGGGCCAGATGCAAAACCCATCACAGAGATGAATCAATCTGCCTAAGCCCCACCGCCTTCTAGTCCGTCTCCTAGGATTTACTAAATTTTCTGCGTCAACCAAAAGGTATAATCTGTAGATGAAAGGTGATTTCAGTGGTAAACCGTGTACCGGAGTATAAACGATGTAACAAACAACAAAAAAAAGCAAAATCCAATTCGGTACGAAAATATGGAACGCTTCACGAATTTGCGTGTCATCCTTGCGCAGGGGCCATGCTAATCTTCTCTGTATCGTTCCAATTTTAGTATATGTGCTGCCGAAGCAAGCACAACTGTAGCGCTTTCGCAGCAGGTATATAAAGCCTATAAATCAAAAACTTTTTCAGTTATGGTATATATACAATGTTTCATTTTTTTAATTACAAACTTTTTAAAAAATCGTAACTTTCTATATCACATATTTTGTGCCAATAGGTTTGTGTTTATGGCCAAATTAATTGTAAAATTCCCTCGATAACAGTCTTGCCTCCTATATGCAAATATGAAGGAACCATGGGAAATAGGCCCTCCTCCCGCCCGCCCAACTTCTGCGCGCGTCTAGTTGCGGTCACGCTCCGTCACGTGTTGCGTGCTGCCTGCGCGTCTTTCCGCGGCGGCCTGCTAGTTGCGGAGGGATCACAGTCCGGCGCCTACTGGAACGCTCCGCCGGGATGGGACAACGCCCGCCTCCGAAATTACCAAGCTGCGTCTGCGTGGTGCGAGTGCATTTTTGGAACGAGGGGCCATGGTGCCCGTGGGGTCCCCATGGGAATTCGACTCGGGACCTCGAAAAGATTGCGAGCTGCTGGTTGGACCCTTCTCTGCGCGGGGACCCCGAGAGGCGGGACCCTAGCGAGGCCTGGGGCCACCTACCGTGGGCCGGAAGGGGCCGGCAGGGGCTGCGGCCGGGGTTCGTGGGGAGGGTGGGCCAGGGCGCGCGCCTTCAGCTTCCGCTGGGCTTCTCGGGACCAGCTCCTTGCATTCGGAGCCAAGCGTATGAGGGCGTCTGCTTTGGGACCCAAAGTTCCAGAAGTGATCGAAGTCTGGGAAGGGGTCACCACCTTTTGATCCAACTTTTAGAGTCAGGCGCTTAAGCACATTGTTGTCATTTCCCCCAATTTGCAGTTTAGCAAACAGGCTCTGGGAGGTTAAACCATCTGCCCCAATGAGTCTGCCACTGGTGAACTAGTTGGGATTTGGATGCGAGTCTGATGTCAATGACTGATTTTTTTTTTTTTTTTTCTAAACACATTAGAGTCTGGAAAAGATTTGAGACCATAAGTGCAGCCTCCACTCTCCCTGTTAGACTTACTCCGGAGTTCCTGACCCCCTCAGTCTTTCCTTCCTACTTCTGTTCCTTCAACAAATATTGAACACCTATGGTGTCAGCGCCGGGACTTCAGGGGTGCGTGAGTGTCAGGGTTGCTATGACAGTGGAGCTCGTTCCAGCCAGGGAGCCAGGCAGATATGAAAGAGCCTTCTTGGATGCTGAGACGTGCTATAAAAGTGGGGCATAAAGAGTGACTGGGGAATGATGGCCACTTCATTGGGCAGGAAAGAAGGTGACACTGGAGCTGGCATTGATGATACGGGGCAGCGCTGAGAGGACAGGGGCTGAAATCCAGGCAGAAGACATTACAGCCACCTGAGTCAGTGCCACCCACCTGGGCCAGCCCTTTAGGGGAAGCTGTTGTGGTAGTTGCTAACTCCCAGCAGTGCTGTGGCTCCGTACTGAGAGAGGGGAAGAACCCGGAGTGTTTTGCCTTTCAGTTCTCCCCGCTCCCTACCCCTCTTCAGTGAAATGGAAGTCATTTGACCAGCTTCTCATCTGACCTTTCTAAATAAGCAGTGGGCAAAGGCAAACCTCAGAATGCTATTATGGCTTTTATTGAGTGAAAAGAGCTAATTTGGGCAATGATGTTTCCCTCAGATTTACAAAAGGGAATTGCAAATAACCAAAAAGCACGTTAACTTTGATGGGAGATGATGCTAATCTTCAATTAGCATTTAAGTTTTTAATTTATTTATTTAGAACAGGTAGGGCTGGTGTTCATAAATGCCTTATTGTGGAAACTAGCAGGAGATAGACCTAGTTATTGGTTCAACATTTCTGGCTACATGAGCATGTGTTACTTTAAGCCAGAGGTAGATTTTGTGGTGGTTGTTGGTTGTTTTTTTGAGATGGAGTCTCGCTGTGTCACCCAGGCTGGCGTGCAGTGGTGCAATCTCAGCTCACTGCAACCTCTGCCTCCTGGGTTCAAGCAATTCTGCCTCAGACACCATGCCGGGCTAATTTTTGTATTTTTAGTAGAGATGGGTTTTCACCATGTTAGCCAGGCTGGTCTCAAACTCCTGACCTCGGGTGATCCACTCGCCTCGGCTTCCCGAAGTGCTGGGATTGCAGGTGTGAGCCACCTCGCCCCACCAATTTTTTGTTTGCCTGTTTTTTATTGCAGAGCAGTTTTGGAGAGGAGAGAGATCTGAGTTCTAGTTCTCCGTCCACCTGGAACTATTTGTGACCTTGGCCTTCTCCCGGTACCTCTGTCTCCGGTTTGATCTTATCTTCTGCAAAGTGAGGAAACTGCCCTAGAGATGCTCTTTGACATTTGTCAGCACTGAAATGCTGTGATTCTTGAAACTGGATAACTGAAGGAATTGTTTGGATAATTAATTGTAATCTTCCGATATTCTGCATTCTCCAAGTACCATGAAAAAAAATTAGCAAGATGTAAAAATTCAAGAGCATTTTTGTTTTCTCTTTTAGAAGGGTGAAGCCAGAGCATTTTTGTTTTCTCTTTTAGAAGGGTGAAGCCAGCTCGTCATCCTGGAGGCATGGAAGACCCCAGGAGCAGACCACAGGGGCAGCTATGGACCTAGGGCCCGGGACATGCTGAACCAAATTACAACAGGCCTCTGAACTCCAAAGGCCAGTGCCTTTGGAGGAAGCGGCAGGGCGGGTGAAGGGGAGGGGATACATTGCATGCAGCCTGGAGCTGGAGGAGCGGAGTCAGCAAGGAGGGCCTCGGGGAGGGGAGAGCAGAGTGGACCATGACTTCATGGGAAGTCCCAAGCCCTCACAGACCTAGAGGGAATGGGCGTTGCAGGCGAAGAGAGTGTGGGTGCCAGAGAGGACTGGGCTGGTGGGCAAGCTTGGAGCTGCAGTGGGAGCCGGCTCCTGCAGCCCTCAGAGTTGTTGGCTTCTCTTCACTGGCTTCCCTACACTCTGAAGACCTGAAAAGAACTGAGTCCTGGCAGTCTTCCCTGAATGTCCTGTGCTACAGAACCCCAAGGGATGAGGAGTGGTCCCCTATCCTGGCTGAGGTGGTAACTTCCCACTATCCTGAGTAGGAGAGGGCAGAGCCAACTTTATTTTGAACAACGAAGAAATGGCTGTTTCATCTGGAAAAAATGTCAGTGAAGACATGAACTCAGGATTCTCTAAAATTATGTCGTGTTTCCCTTTACAGCCAGAGAGCATTGAGTGTTTTCATGTATCATGTCATCTGAAGCAGGAAGGTCTAGAGACTCCCATCAGCCCCACCGGAGGAGGAAGGAGCAGGGATAGGGAATGTGAAGAAGTCCCTAAGGCCTTGTTTGTGTGCAGGCCTGGGAGGAATGGCATTAGTGGTTTCAGGAGGTGTTGCCCCAGGATTGTTACAGAGGGACAATGTGTTGAGTTCACATGCCTGACCCTGAAATTCCAAAGGCCCCAGACACAGAGCATGGCCAGAGGGTGCTTGGTTGGAGGGGGCCTGAGTGTGGGTGGGGACCCACTCCCCCAGGCTGCCAGAAATTCCTTTGAGCTGCTCATGCTTTGAGTTAAGCCTTGTTCATATAACATCTCTTTTGAAGTGCACTCTGCCACCTAATTCACCTCAATGTGAATGAGTTTTTCCAAAGAGGCTGGAGGTGGGTGGAGCAGGCAAATAGGTCTGTGTGCCCACAGCTCAGAGGGTGGCCTGGGGGAAGAGGTAGGGTCAGCTTTGGTCTCCTGACTTCTCAGAGGGAGTTTCTTTGAAGGCTTCTAAGTCCTGTGTTCTGCTGGTGTGGCCCCAGGTGTGTTTAGATCAGTTCTAATCTATCTCAGATGCCAGGCCTCAGTGGAGCCCTCTGGCCCCACCTCTCCCCCAGCACAGCCCAGGCTGCCCCTTTTTCTCTCCCCAGATCTCATGTTTGTGCCCAGAATGTCTTAAAATATCTGTTTCCTCACCTATGGGATGGTGATTGTACTGCCTGCTTTTTTGGGGTCACTTGAAGGTTAAATGCAGGATTGGGTGTGAAAGGCCCTAGCACATTGGATGAGCTGATTGATGCCAAGTGTTTAGAATAGTCTCGGGCTATTCTTTTTTTTTTTTTGGAAACCAAGTCTTGCTCTGTCATCCAGGCTGGAGTGCAGTGGCATGATCTCAGCTCACTGTAACCTCCACCTCCCAGATTCAAGCAATTCTCCTGCCTCAGCCTCCTGAGTAGCTGGGATTACAGGTGCCCACCACCACGCCTGGCTAATTTTTGTATTTTTAGTAGAGACAGGTTTTCTCCATATTGGTCAGGCTGGTCTGGAACTCCTGACCTTGTGATCCACCCGCCTCAGCCTCCCAAAGTGCTGGGATTACAGGCGTGAGCCACCGCTCTCGGCCAGTCCTGGGCTATTCTAATGCTCAATACAATACGTAACCACTTCCTTACTCTTCTTTCCTTCATCTTGCAACTGTCTGCATGAAATAAGCTTTTTTTAAGGTGAAAATATCAGGGTAGGGAGGAGTCCCTAAGTTTTGTTCCTTTTAGCCATGTCAGGGAATATTTTCACCCAGATGTCTTTAATCCTTTGGATTTGACTTAGCAAAGGCCCTGGTTAAGATGCAGTTGTGTTTTGAGACGGGACACTAAATAGACTCAGTAATACTTTTTTACTTAGTTTAGTATGATTCCTTGCCCTTCAACACCAACACAAGGCCTTCTGGAGTCCTATTTCATGTGAGTATCTCTGAGACATAAGCAGGGGTGCGGCGGGGGTGGTGGTGGTTATTATTCCTCTTTACTGATAGGGAAAGACTAGACCTAGAGAGGTTAGGCGACCTATCTAAGGGCACAGCTAGTGACGCTCCTGGAATTTGCTCTTGGATCTCTCTGACTCCAAGGGCTCGCTTTACACCGAGATGGAATATGGGAGTACAGTTTGAGGGGTTCTGGGAAGCTCTCTCCAGATAATCTCTTCCTCTTGCCTTAAATCCTACCACTGATGCATCGTTAGTTTTAGCGGTTGCTCTGTCAAGGGTTCACTGTGATTTATTTCAAGACCCATTTTCTGGCAGTCCCAGGGTGGCCTAAGGGCATAAGTTGTTTAGGTTTAGAGTGTGGAGGGCGTGCTCAGAAAGAAGGTACAAAAAGAGGAATTGCCAACTCTGAGCATGGGGTGTGTCAGTTTCTCTCTAGTCTTCAATTTCCCTATGTGGGTTTGCAGGGATGGGAGGAAAAGCATCACACCTCCTCCAAATCCTGGCTGCCCTGGAGTCCAGACATCACTCCCTGCAAGGCTACACTGACCGCAGCAGCGATGCAGGGGACACTGCAATGGCTTTCAGCCGAGGAGGTCCATATTTACGTCTCATCAACTGTGACTAGCTGGGTCACCAGTCTCTTCCAGTTGCTGACCTTGTTTTCTCATCTCTGAAATGAAAGTGATGATTTTTCTACTTACTCTACAGGGTTGTGACGCTCCAAGAGAAATCCCACTATAAATTGCTATACAACAAAAGACAGGAATATCAGTATTGTAAGACACCCAGTGGAGCCTCAGGCAGCTCAGTGTTCCCCTTACCTGGTGAGTGAGGCACGTGTGCATTAGGAACAGACCTACAAAATCAGAGCACCAAGATGAACCATTACATTGTATTAATATTTTCACACCACTTAGCTCTCATTAAAATGTACTTTGCTGAATTTAATATGTGATTTCAAATGACACAACATATTAAGTGCTTAATATACTAGAAATTATGAAACTATTACAGTTGATGCCATATGAAATAATTACACTGAATTAAACTTTAGCAGCCAAGTGAAGGAAAGACTTCAACTTATAACGTCTTAAAGAAGCTTAAGCCACCACTGTAATCCCCCAAATAAATGTCCAGAAATTAGGATCTTTAAATAAAAACTGGAACTTAATCTGTACTTACGCCTGGAAGCTCTTCTGGGCTTTGGTGATGTTGAGCATTGTTCCCTTAGGGAGGTGGGGGGACCTGGGACCCACCAAAGGCCAGGGTGTCAGGGTCAGGGCTTCAGTGGGCTTGCTCCCTGGGGCCTGGCTGGGGATTGGCTCAAATGGCCGGGAGTAAAGGCTTCTGCTGAAGTGACAGATGAGGCTTTGCTCCAGATTACCCTATTGACAAGTTAAAAATAAAGACAAACCCACTTATTTAACATCTGTTGAGTGCTTCCTTTGTGCCAGCCGTTTTATAAGCATTTCCTTATTAAATCCTCACGATACATCCATTTTCAGAACTACTGTTTTGGCCGGGCTTGGTGGCTCACGCCTGTAATCCTAGCACTTTGGGAGGCCGAGGTGGGTGGATCACTTGAGGTCAGGAGTTCAAGACCAGCCTGGCCATCATGGTGAAACCCCATCTGGAAAAAAAAAAAAAAAAAGAACCACTGTTTTTCAGATGAGGAAACAGGCTCAGAAAGATTAAGTGAATCATCCAGGGCCTGAAATCAGAATCTACAGTGTTCACTCGTGCATCACATTGCGTTCCTCTAAACTCTTCAGCCTCCTCATTTGTGTGTGTGTCTGCGTGCATGTATGTACTACTTCCTGTTTTAATAATGATTCAGTGACTGGTATGGTTTGGCTGTGTCTCCACCCAAAACTCATCTTGAATTGTTATCCCCATAATCTTCACGTCAAGGGGGAGACCAGGTGGAGGTAATTGAATCACGGGGGCAGTTTCCCCCATGCTGTTCTTGTGATAGTGAGTGAGTTCTCACGAGATCTGATGGTTTTACAAGTGTTTGGTAGTTTTTCCTTCATTCATTCTCCTTCCTGCCGCCTTGTGAAGAAGGTGCTTGCATCCTCTTTGGCTTCTGCCATGATTGTGTTTCCAGAGGCCTCCCCAGCCATGCAGAACTGTGAGTCAATTAAACCTGCTTATAAGTTACCCAGTCTTGGCCAGTTCTTTACAGCACTGTGAAAATGGACTAACACAATGACCAAACACATTAGCCTGCTATACGTCAGTGCGTGACCTATATCTTTATCACATTCCAGCCATTGAGACTAGGGACCATGGCTTGAGAGTTTCACCTTCAACTCTGTTGATACACACAGCCTGGCTAACTTACACAGGAAGTGCTCTGTGGAGACGTGCTGTTAATTCAATTCCAGAGGAACAAATTCAGTACCTCCTCAGTATCCTGCCATATACCTTTGTGTGCTTGCTTAAACAAGATAACCTCCCATAAAGAGCAAGAATACTTTCATAGGGAAAACCAGTGTCTCAGCTACTTAAGGGCCTATGTCTCAATTACTTATATCAGCATGAAAATACCCAATGGGCTGTTTGAAAAATAGAAATTTTAGTGTGGACATTTACATGTATTATCATTTACTGACCAGCAAAAATGATTTTCATGGAAGCAGGAAAATTTGGCTCAAGCAAACACGTTTGTAATGAACTGAAAACATGTATTTTTCATAAGTATCAGGATTAAGCTCTGTCTTACATAATAGAAAAGCAAGTAACAGTGGCTTTAAGAAGACAGAGATTCGCTGGGCGTGGTAGTGGCTCATGCCTGTAATCCCAGCACTTTGGGAGGCTGAGGCGGGTGGATCACGAGCTAGACCATCCTGGTCAACATGGTGAAACTCCGTCTCTACTAAAAATACAAAAAATTAGCTGGGCATGGTGGCTCATGCCTGTAATCCCAGCTACTCAGGAGGCTGAGGCAGGAGAATTGCCTGAACCCAGGAGGCAGAGGTTGCAGTGAGCCGAGATCGCGCCATTGCACTCCAGCCTGGGTAACAAGAGCGAAACTCCGTCTCAAAAAAAAAAATTAATTAATTAATTAAATTAAATAAGAAAATAGAGATTCTTTTCTCTTTCACATGAAACAAGTTGTCTTTTAAGGACTTGTCTGGTGGCTCCATTGTGTCAGACAGCTGGGCCCTTTTATCCTTGAGGACTACAATTCGTGGTTTAAGATGCTTACTAGATCTCCAAGTTCCAGGCAGGAAAGGCAAAGGTGGGGGGGCATTACTGCCCGGAATAAAATCCATAACTCAGAATCCCGCCTAGCACTCAGGAGTACTCAGTACATGGTACTCTTGACTATTGCTTGTCTTTCGTTCCACACAGCATCAAGAAGGGGGAAGGGAAGTCTTTTTTTTTTTAGACAAAGTCTCTGTCACCCAGGTTGGAGTGTGGTGGTGCAATCTCGGCTCGCTGCAACCTCCGCCTCCAGGGTTCAAGCGATTCCCCTGCCTCAGCCTCCCGAGTAGCTGGAACTACAGGCACCCACCACCATGCCCAGCTAATTTTTGTATTTTTAGTAGAGATGGGGTTTCACCATGTTGGTCTGGTCTCAAACTCCTGACCTCAGGCCATCCACCTGCCTTGGCCTCCCTAAGTGTTGGGATTACAGGTGTGAGCCACCACACCCCACTCATATTTAGTAATACTATACAGGGTTCTAAGGACCAGGCTGGACGTGTACACACGATTGCATTCAATTTTCATAATCCTGTGAGGGTGGTGTAGCAGCAGGTTAAGCAGGAAGTGAGGCTCTATCCACATGTGGAGGCAGGAAATTGGAGGGGAAGGGTGGAATGTTTACATAAGAAGCCCAAGGGCTTTCACGAAACCTCCAACACTTGCTCTCTGAGATTCAAATTAATACACATCTTCAGTGTGGATCAAATGGTTCTAAGGTGCCGTGGCAGGAAAGTGTTAATAATGCCCTTAAAATTATCATGAGCATAGAAAGTGAAGAGATTAAAAAATGTTTTAAAAGACAAGAGAAAAGCTAGCAAGACTTGAACAGGTACATCACAAATTAGGAGCTCAAATGGTGAATGTGAAAATGTACTCAGCCTCTATAGTCATCAGGGAAATCCAAAAGCACCTCACAATTAACATTGAGAAGTTCTATAATGCTGTTAACTAAAAATTCACTCGATATACATTTGAAAGGAGCTTAGTTTCTTATAAAGAGTTATAGCCAGGCCAGGCACGGTGGCTCATGCCTGTAATCCCAGCACTTTGGGAGGCTGGGGCAGGCAGATCACCTGAGATCGGGAGTTCGAGACTAGCCTGACCAACATGGAGGAAACCCTGTCTGTACTAAAAATACAGAATTAGTCGGGGGTCGTTGCAGCTCCTGCAATCCCAGCTACTCGGGAGGCTGAAGCAGGAGAATCACTTGAACGCAGGAGGCAGAGGTTGCGGTAAGCTGAGATCGCACCATTGCACTCCAGCCTGGGCAACAAGAGAGAAACTCCGTCTCAAAACAACAACAACACACTTAAGAGTTATAGCCAGCAAGGTGGCATTCTGACAGGCTGGGAAGTGTTAGCCTTGGTCAAAGCCCAGAAGCAGACACTTTGAGGGAAAGAGGGAGGGGTAAAATAGGAATTTAAGCTGATTGGTTGGCTAAGCACAGGTATTCAACAGGATACAGGAGGAGCTGTGAATATTCATGAGGTGGTCCTAATACATGCATACTTGAATAAACATGCATGTTACAAATGACCCATGTTCTTTGCAGTGGAGACTTTTAAATGTCGCATTTAAATGTAGTACAGTTAGGCTCTATATGTCAAAAGGTCTTTTCAGGACACAAAGTCACTCAAGTGTGCAGGCTCTGTAAACCAGCCAGACCAGTCCACAGTTGGTGGTCTTCTCATCAGGAAAAAGTTACTGAAATAACTCTTGTCCAATCAAAGTTGTAGTTATGGCTTGTGGAACACGGGGTCAGTTAGGTAGCACCTGGCAGTGGATGAGCTGCACATGATTTTAATATTTATTTCAAGGCCAGTGCTTGTTTAGCTGCTTGAGAAAAAGAAAAACCTTGTGGCAGTTGGAACAGAGTTTATTTTATTTTTATTTATTTATTTATTTTTTGACGGAGTTTCGCTCTCATTACCCAGACTGGAGTGCAATGGTGCGATCTCAGCTCACTGCAACCTCCACCCCCAGGGTTCAGGCAATTCTCCTGCCTCAGCCTCCCGAGTAGCTGGGATTACAGGCACGTGCCACCATGCCCAGCTAATTTTTTGTATTTTTAGAAGAGACGGGATTTCACCATGTTGACCAGGATGGCCTCGATCTCTTGACCTCGTGATCCACCCGCCTCAGCCTCCCAAAGTGCTGGGATTACAGGGGTGAGTCACTGCGCCCGGCCAGAACAGAGTTTATTTTTTAAGTGTAGGGGAGTGTATTGACTTAACCCTTGCATTGCATGGCCTTAGGTCTTGTTTATAGTTTGATATCTTATAGTCATAAAGAGTTCATTCTATCAGTCTTATGACCTCTATTTTAATATTAAAACTGATCAGTTACGCTGGATGCAGTGGCTCAACCTGTAATCCCAGCACTTTGGGAGGCTGATGTGAGAGAATTGCTTGAGCCCAGGACTTGGAGGCTGCAGGGAGTTATGGGCATGTAACTTCACTCTAGTCTGGGTGACAGAGCAAGACCCTGTCTCTAAAACATAAATAAATAAATACAATGCTGCTCAGTTGTTGTGTCCAAATTGTAATCTGACCTCCTGTCTCCTCATGGCCAGGAACTCAGTTTTTAAGTCCTGTTGGCCAAGATGGGGGGCGGGGGGGTCCATTCAGTCAGTTGTGGGGCTTAGAATTTTATTTTTAGTTCACAATGCCAAGTGCTGATGAGGAAGTAGAGCAACCAAGATATGAGAATATATGGCTGGGGAGTAGGGAGATTGGTGCAACCACTTTGGAAAATTGATAGCTCCTACAATTGAAGATAACTATACCCTATGACTCAGTTGTTCCATTTCTAGTTATATGCCCTAGAGAAACTCATGTACATCAACACCAAGTTACAGGTAAAAGAATGTTCAAGGTGGCATTGTCTTTAATGCCCCCAAACTGGAAGCAACTCAAGTGTCCATCAACAGGAGAATGGATAACTACACTGAGGTATATTCATACAATAGAATACTATGCAGGTATGAAAATGAATCAACTACAGTTATTAGGTTGGCGCAAAAGAAATTTGTGTTTTTTGCCATTGAAAGTAATGGCAGGCCGGTGCGGTGGCTCACATCTGTAATCCCAGCACTATGGGAAGCCAAGGCGGCAGATGGATCACAAGGTCAGGAGTTCAAGACCAGCCTGGCCAACACGGTGAAACCCCTGTCTCTACTAAAAGTACAAAAAATAGCTGGTCGAGGTGGTGGGTGC